TAAAACTGAATTTTTTTAAAAAAAAAAAAAAAAAAAAATCACAAGTGTGTTTTGTGTGCTCTGTGGCATTCTGTAGAACATTAGCATTGTGTTGTTAAGGAAGCCAGTTATAATTAATGCTACATCTGTGATGTTCTCAAAAAAGAACTTATAAAGAAGCAGTGCTTTTTAAAATATCAAACTGGACATTTTTACACATTTTAGCCATGCTTTATTCAGATATTAATGCCAATGTTACCTTCTCTGAAGCTCTGAGAATAAGGCTGGATGGGAATAACTTCCCAAGTATCTTTTACTTGCCTCCTATATTGCTAAGATAGAGAATCATAGGGTTAGAAGAGACCTTTGAGGTCTTCTAGTCCAACCCCCTGCCCAAGGCAGGAGTCCTTATACCATCTTGGACAAATGGTTGTCCAATCGTTTTTTGAAAACCTCCAGCAATAGAGCACCCGCAGCTCCAGGAGGGAAGCTGTTCCGCTGCTTAATAGTTCTCATTGTCAGGAAATTCCTCATTTCCAGGTTGAATCTCCCTCTGATGACCTTCTACCCATTGCTTCTTGTCCTACCCTCAAGTCCTATGGAGAATAAATCAATGCCCTCTTCCCTGTGGTAGCCCTTTAAGTATTGGAAGACTGCTATCATGTCTCCTCTCAGTCTTCTCTTGGTTAAGCTAAACATACCTAGTTCCTTTAGCAGTTCTTCATATGATTTAGCCTCCAGACCCCTTATCATCTTTGTTGCTCTTCTCCACACTCTTTCTAGGGCCTCAGCATCTTTTTTGTATTGTGGTGACCAGAAATGGACTCCACAATAAATAATTCTCTAATTATCTCCACAGAGAAGAGAATGTTTATCCTTCAAAATGTTGCTGGACTCCCAACACTAATCAGCCCCAGTCAATACCACTAGTTATCAAGGATGATGGGAATTGGAATCCACTTATTTGGAGAACCATAGATTATATTCCCTTATGCTAAAATAAGGTCTTGTTGTTGCAACAGAATATACTGTAGGATTATGCCAACCCACAATGTGCATTCCTTTTGACACACAACATGTGAATCTACAAAAAATAATGGTTTTAGTGACATGAAATGACTTCTGGTTGAATGTTAGGAGGAAAACATAATAAAAGCATAACAGCAGTTAAACTACCTAGTGGAATGTTGGGCTCCCCATCACTGAACGTATCTGAAGATCTGAGCCTAAAAATTGTCCAGGAAAGTTTTGACTTCAGGACTATTTGGCAGTTTTAAAGTTGTATGAAGTTTCTTTTCAGGTTGTTGAAGAAAATGAGAAGAAAGGATTTCATGGTTCTTCCTCCCTTGTCTCAGACAATGAGCTCAAATATTTGTGTTGATTATAAATATTGAGATGAATGCGCCAGTTGGAATCGTACTCATTTACATAGGAAATTTTTCTAGTTCAGATTTTTCTGAAAACCCACATCCCTGGATGAGTTCAAGCAGAGGTTAAATAGCCAACTGTTAGTAAAACTTGCAAGGGGTGTTTTTGATTACTTAAATGGGGCCTTCTGGTTCTATGAACAACCTATTATGTCTTGCTAAATCATAGTTTAAAGAATTATAATTGTGAAAGTTGACTAAAAATATGCATTTCAAAAAGTTAACTGCAGCATCATTCTGTAGAAATAACCAGCCAACATCTGCATGTTGTGTACATATAAAAACTCCTTGAAAGTACAGCAATCTCAGGTCCAATGCCATATTAGCCTTAATATCTCTTGATCAGTAAACTTGGATACATAAAATTATGTCGTGCCCCAAACAAGTAGTTTCCAAATTTTTCAGTATGTTTTTTAATGAATTGCTATTTGAGATGGTCAGATAAAAAGTGTTCCTTGAAAATAAGGAATAGTGGCCTCTCCCATTAGGAGTAATTACTAGTAATCTGTAAGGGAATTTTTTGGCATAAGTATTAACTTAATGCTGCACGTCTATTTAAATGAATTCATAATATTTTAGGATTTTTCATGGTTTTCAAATATACATGCTGTTGTAGTAGCTGTTAGATAAACACTCACATACACATAGGTATTTGAGGGGAGATGCTGATATTGTCCATTATATAATAATGCTAACTGCTCAGATTTTAAAAAATAATACTCAACCGTGACATGGTTTTACTTGTAGTTCAAAACAAAGATGTTTGGCATTTTAAAATCATTATCAGATCACTGCACGCACCCAAACATGAAACCTCATATAAGCATAACGCTTTTTCAAACTATTTCCTCTTTCATTTTCCTGCCTAAATGCTCAGGATAGCAGACTACAGAAGTTTTAGCAGTTCATAAAGTCACAAAGAGACAAAAATAAATCCAGTTAATAAATATTGCCATACAGCCACATCATTTTCTGTTCCTGTAAAGGAATTTTACCAGTGGATAAAATGGCAGATGTATATGTTTGCTCATTATTCTGGCCCCTGCTACTTGTGCCGCTACACTGGCAGTTTCTCTGTTATGCTATGCTTCACAGGCAAAGACAAACAGTAAAAAATATTTTATCCTTGGAGAAAAAGATACGTATGTAGGAGTAGCAGGCCGAAGACAAGACAAAAGGGAATGGGCATGCTTGAGGGGAAATAGATGACTAAATGTTGTATTGGTCATTTTAAACAACTGGAGTACTGCAACCCTTAATGGTAAAAGCACTGAAACTGATCCACAGGACATAATGAATATAGAACTAAAAACAAAGTTCTCAAACATTTTTTGATATTTAAACTTATATGTATATTGTAAGGTTTCAAACAAACAGTGTTGGGCTTTTTAAAAACTGAATTTAAAGCAATTTAGAAATCACGCACAGGGTAGTGCTGAAAGTGAATTTGATTAAAGAGACAAAAAGAAGAAATGAAACCCGTTGGTCTGTTTCAATTGTTTTAACTGAGAAAATTGCAAGAAATGACTCATATAAGTAGTGGAAGATATATATATATATAACTGCATTCTCTTTACTTCAGCATGATTCTTCTCCTTTGTATTGGCTTTGTCTGGGCTCAAACCAAGCAGGTTGAGCCTGATTAGTATTCAGATAAGAGACAGCCTGGAAATTCTATGACTGTTTGTTAAAGTTGGAAATTGAAAAATCCCAGAAATCAATATCAACCCACTCCATATTGTTGCCAAGAGAACTACACAGACACATCTGTGAAATCACCAGGAATGCAGCTCAGCTTGAAGGAGACTTACCTTTTTGGGGTGTATTTTTTGGAATATATGGAATCACTGTGCACTCCAGTATATCCCTGAAACAATTATATAAAAATAATTGAACTTTTCTAATAATGCCAACAACTTGGCTGCCTCCTTTCAATTATAGATTTTGCCACACATTCTTCCAGTAACTGAGCTGCCTAGTTGACTCTTGTTTTTTTCCACAAAAACTAGGGCTACCATATCTGGTCTGCAGAAATCCAGAAGATTACCAGATGATAGCAAAGAGTTTTCAGTAAACTTTGTCTGAAGTTCTACAGCCCATGAAATCCCTAACAAAGACAAAGAATATCCATTCTGCTCAAACTACCTATAAGATATAAATACACAGAATCATATATTCTTAATTGGGGAGAATTGGGGAGTTGCATATCCAGGCAAGTGTTGTGCACATCAGTAGCTGAAACTCTGCATGTGGCCTCTTTTTTAAAAGGTATTTTTTCTTATTGATTTTCCCTTTTAAGCAGCTGATTAAGAGTTTTGCTGTTTAAAACATATCAGTATTCTCAGTACCAGGAGTGATATGCACAGAGTTTTGGAAGAGTCTTTGATTGCAGAGTAATCTTTATTCTAGGTGTCTATGTATGCTTCTTCACAATATTTCTTTTTCTGGTTTATGAAAGGATGCCAGTTCTTCTGAGCGTATCCTTGTAGCCATGCGTTGGGGACTAGTTCCAGCTTGGTTCAAGGAAGCTGACCCATCTAAAATGCAGTACAGCACTTTCAATTGTCGGAGTGATACCATGATGGAGAAATTCTGCTATAAGGTTAGTTGTATAATCTTCAGTTTGGAAAAAAAAAATTATTTGTCTCCCTCTGGCCATGGCCTTTATGACTTTTGAGTTGAACATGAAAACTGGAACTTTGTCTAATATATACTACCAACATCAAGATGCTGCAAACCCTGCATCTTAATTTTTCTGAAAGAGAAAAGCCCAATAGGTGATAGCATTTCACATGCTGTGCTTGATAGAACAGCTTCAAGATAGCCTGGTTTCTGTGTACATTAGATTAGAGAAAATACTGACTTTAAGACAGGCCTTTAGAAATACAGTAATATAAATAAGTCCATAAAAACTAATATAAAGGCTGAATATAACTACTATTTTCTACAATTCTCTCCTTTTCTGAAGGATCAGATTATTACATAACAATTAAACAGAATCAGGAAGTGATATACACATGACTAAGGAAGCAGATACCCTCCTGGAAAACGAACTGTCTTTGTTCTTCTCTACAGCAACAGATTACTTCAAGCTTGCTCTATAATGACTTGGTAGCTTAAGCAATATTGTGGTGAACTGCTTAGCCCTACCTTACTTTTGCTTATTTTTGGTCTGTTTTCTCCAGTTGCTTTTTCCTTCCTTTTTTCCCAGACCTCATAGAATTGGGGTAGGGAATATGAAAACTAGAAATGCTGCAATCTATTACAAACAAATAAGGTTCTTAAGCTTTGCTTGCACTGCTGTTTTATCAGTATAGTTCTGGAAGATGAATGAAATGCTGATTTATTCTCATTAAGGAGCAGAATCTCATCAGGAGCATACCAGGGCAGAAAATATCTTATTCCTCTGATCATTTATGAATCTGGAAGCTGAGTTCATAATTTAGATTTGAAGTTTGACATATTAAATAAGTCAGGAGCCCCAGGATAAACATTTCCACCTTGGGAATCTCCTGATTTATTTAGCTGCTCTTCCTTGTGAAAGAAGCCTTGTTCCGAAAAACAAGCCAGAGTTCTGAAGAATTCTGGTTTTGCATTTTGGTTGAATACAGGCTTCAAGATAGCCACAAATATGTCTGATGAATAAAGATAACACCACTGTTCATGCTGTAGAAAATTCACATCTGTTAGTAAAGATTAGCTATTTTTGGACAAAATACAGTTCTTCATTTCAGCAAAGAAATCACTCCTGTATTTTAAGTTATGTAGTGTTTATTTTCACACAACAGTGAATGTTGAGGAATCCCTATATGGATGTCAAGATAAGTATAATTATTAAAATTAGGACTTTGCAGCAATCTGGATTTGAAGGAGCGATGGTGAGGTGGAGCACAAGTGTATGCTCATGTAGCGCCTGTCAGCACCTCTTTAAATCAAATATTTCTTTTCCTGGGATTGAATGACAGTGATCAAGCACACACAGGAGCTATACAGCAGTTGTTGACAGATGCTATGGGAGTGTCCTTGTGCACTCTGAACCACCTTTTCCCCTTTGAATCCTTATTGCTGCACAGTCCTAATTAAAACTTAGGGTGAACTCTTGCTCTGAATATGATTTTATAGATTCCCTTAGGAGATAGTATTACAATCTGCCAGTGCCAACCATAAAATGCATGCTTTTAAATATATTTGAAGTTAGCATTGAATAGATTGCTATTTATCCTGCTCCTCTCTTTTTTCCAAAGGGTCCTTTCTTAAAAGGCAAACGCTGTGTGGTGCTGGCCGATGGCTACTATGAATGGCGACAACATAATGGACAAAAGCAGCCCTATTTCATTTACTTTGCCCAGACTGAGCAGGAAATGGTATAACAACACTGTAATGTATTAATCTTCATATTTGATGCTGATACTTTTTTTTAAACCTGTCCCCAAATATTACATTTGTCAGAATAAAATGGACGGGACTGTGCTTTGTCATTTTCCCCTTTTTGCTCACAGCTGCTGCAGCTCAGGTTGAGGATGGTCATATCTAATCCTGCTTGCTTAAGGACTGTTGAGTTGGGGAAATGTGGTATTCCTAAGCCTACATTTTACTTATTGAAACACTTACTTGAGTCCCCGGGGATTAAACAATTCCAAACGTATCATTGGTAAACTATACAACAGTGGAACTTATACACTGCTCAATTTGACATTTCCAGGGCAGTTTAAAATAATGAATAAAATATATTTAGCAAATATTTTATTTGCTAAAAACATCATAGCATGGATAAAAGTACATAATGTGAGAAACATCTGGAAGGATAAACAGGGCTTTGCCTAGCACTAAAAGAGAGTAACACAGACACAAAGCAAACTTTCCTGAGGAAGTATGGTAATGCAACTAAAATTACCAACCTTGCTTCATATGGCAAGGTAAACCAGGAAACCAGGCTAAGCTGTAAACATCTTATTCTATAAAGATATTTAAACTGCATTCTGAAATCAGCCATGGGGACAAGTCCCAGCACCTGATTTTAGCTACTAAAAATTGGTAAATTACTAATGAAGACCTTTGTTTTGAACCATATGCAGTTTCTGAGCGGTTTTCAAAGGTAATCCCACATATGTTATTATGCAATAGTCAAACTAAGAAATTATCAGAGCCTGGACTGGCAAACAGTTTTTAATTTAGGCAGCTCACAAGCTTAATTTATAAAATGCATTCAGTGCCAGTGGAATCACTTTGTTCTTTAGTGTCAAAACCTTGATTTATGAGTTGAATTTTAGTTATTGTGGTATAATTATAGTAATAGACTCAACAATAATTTGATGCTCAATGCAGCAAGATAATGGTGCTAGTTAAGAATTAAACTGATGTTCATCTACAACAAGATGAAGGTGAGAGATCCAAAGAGGTGATGTTTAGTCTGTTTAAGAGGAGATCCCATGCTGCTAAGGTTTTTTAATATATTGTTTGCATTTGCAGTTCACCAAACCAGATACGGAAGATGAGGTTGAAGATTCAAAAGTCAGGAAGCTGCTTACTATGGCTGGAATTTTTGATTGCTGGGAGCCCCAGAAGGGAAGAGAAGCATTGTACAGTTACAGTATCATCACAGTAGATGCATCTGAAAGTGTAAGATCCATCCATCACAGGCAAGAGAGAACATATTTATTTATTATTATTATTTTATTTATTTATTAAATGTATATGCTGCCCATCTCCCCCAGAGGGGAGATACAACATATTGTAAAATGGAATAAGCTAAAGATAATGCTTCATAAATTGCACTTTCCCTTATCTAATTTCTTTTTGTATTTACCACGTAGTATGCTTATTTTTAAACATAACTTCAAATAAAGGTCAGAATATGGAAGTTTTATCTAATCTTATAAAATTGTCTCCTTAGAAATGGGCATCTATGCTGACTTCTATTGCATGACTAGTTTGAACAGCAGTAAGAAATAAGCATTGTTCCAAATCTTCTGCATTGCTTTGTCAGTTCAATCCTTGGAGAAATTGAGTGAGCTTTGAATTGAGGGTACTGCAACATCAGACCAATTTCTTTTGCTGAATTTGATCGGTGGAATCTGGTTCATGCTGATATTTGGCCTTTTATGTTTTCTATTAATATAGGTTGTGGACTAGTTCAGATGTTTCTTTCCACCACTAAAATCTTTATCTTTCTTCTTGCCTAGGATGCCAGCTATTCTGGAAGGGGATGAGGCAGTTAGAAGATGGCTGGACTTTGCAGAAGTACCCACAGAAGAAGCGCTTCAGCTTATCCAGTCCACAGAAAACATTGTCTTTCACCCTGTATCAACAATAGTGAACAATTCCCGAAATAATTCACTGGAATGCATTTTACCCATTGAACTGGAGTTCAAGAAGGTAAGTTCGCATTTCCTTTTCTAGGATATATTTTCAACTTCCCAATCTATTTTACAACCCTGGAATTACAAGGCAGTCTCCCATCTAAGTATTAATCAGGGCTGACCCTGCTTAGCTTCTGAGATTGACTAAGGTGCTGCTGCTACCTGCTTAGGCTAAGCATCTCTGTGTAAAAGTAATTGTTACATTGATGTTACTGATTGCATAAAATTCAAAGATGGAGTTCATGTACATCTTCTGCATCTGTATCCTGTTCAGTTCATATGCAAAAAAGATTGTTTATGATCTTCATCAAAGCTTCCTGAATAAATTGGGGGAGGGGGGAGAGTGGGATCCTGATGAGCTGTAACTGAGATCAGCTCAGATATAAATTTGTTTTCCATGGAGGAAGTGGTTTAGGAATTTTATTTTTCAATAAAATATATTTCATTTCAACAAGTTAGAATGCTCCATGAAACCACTAGATCATAGTAGCAAAATTCACTGAACTAGTCTGCAATTTTTGATGGACTAGTCATAAAAATCTTATTTTTCTTATTCTGTATCTTCCAGAATACCAAAGTTAGTGCAAGCAGCACAATAATGCTGAACTGGTTAAAAACCAAAGGCCCCAGGAAAGATGACAAGGATGAAGACAATTTACCAAAGTGGTCCAGCCAGTTCATCCAGACACCACCATCTAAGAAAACGAGTATAGACTTAATGCACCAATGGCTCAAAGAAGATGGAGAACCTTCTGCAAAGCATCCCAAAAAACAGTGATATCTTGGTTGTATTGCTTATTACCAAGCCTGTTTTTAGCCTAATAGGTTCTTACATATGGAGTTATAGCAATATTTAAACTTCCTGATTTAGATTATAATGCAGGACTTCAGGCATGCTTACTTCCTAATGTTGAGTAGATGGGCTCTGACATTTAACATTTAGTTTTGTCTGACACAAATAGGGGTATGGTTGTTAAGTGCAGCATTGACTTTACCATGCCAACTTTGAGAAGGCAACAGCGTCCCGAAATATGTAAAAAGTGAAGGGTTTAATCCTTTTTTTCTTCTCCAAGGACACAAGCAGAGATTTGGTTTGTCATGGTTACTGTCGCAGTATTCATTCAATTCACTTTGTGGATTGCTTCATCTTTTATGGAAAAAGTAGGTCACTGTTAATGCTGGAGATTTGCTGCTGCACAATGAGAATGATTGTTTGCTTTATTCTCAAGCCAGTTCAAACTTTTGTCCTTTTTTATCTGTTTTGGAACATGTGGAATATCATCTTCAAGCAGTTTTCAAATATAATTCCTATTGGTTGGGAAGCTATTCCAAAAGGAGCTTGTTTCACTATTCTGGATTTACTGTACTTTCCAAACCTGTAGTGGTATTGTTTAACTAGCTCATCAAAGCTATAATGGTGATCAGGCCACCACTGTAACTGATATCTTGAGCAGGTGGTAAGAGGGGATAGAAAGACTGTTTTGGGGGGCAGTCAAGATAATGTGGTAGTAGTAGTAGTTGGCTGTATTAAGGATAACTGACACTTGGTAATAATGCAGAATTCTAAACAAAAGCTTTATGAGGTCCAGAGACAAGGACAAAATTTGAGCTGCTTAAGATGAGTCACGCTGGACTCAAGGCAAAGTGTTGTTGTCCAGCCTAAGAGGCATCAGGACCACTATTGTCAAAAGAATGGCTAGGTGGTTAAGATGGTACTTCAAGAGAGAAATCCACCTTTATGCATAGGATCAACTTATTCCACTCTCCAGAGAGCTAGAGTACTGGGCCTGAATAGGCCTGAAATTCATGCAGGAAAATACTCCTGACAGTGATGGGTTCTTTAAAGTGCTATACAGAGAATTGTTCCAGTGAGAAATGAGTTTATTTCCCTGGGAATGAAAGGGAAAGGATTACCTCAGACCAACATGGGAGAGGCTGTACCTGGAATTCCATGCAGCTCTTGAAATTGGTTGGTGATCTCTGTACAGCCTTACTATACAACTACATCAGAAATCTATTTTGTCCATTTCTTGGCAAATAAGAGACTGAAACAAACGATAAATATTCAGAATATTTAATTTTATATAGAAGACTATAAATCCTTTTGGGTAGAACAGAGTTCCTGTAAGCAATCTGCTGAAATGCATGAAATACCATTCACTAGAAATAAGGTTGCAAATTTGGGACATTTTTAAAGTTTTTAATACACAGACAATGCTGGAAATATAAATGAAGACTTTGTTCGGAGTTAAACTTATTTTGACATCATTAATTTCTTAACTTGTGACAACAGCTATAGAAGTAAAAAGCATTTAACTATCCCATTAATGTTTTTATGCATAGTATAATTCCTGCTAAATCCTAAAGTACAATTACATTGAGAGTCACTGTGAATAACATGTCTCCCTTATCTTGATAAGTATAAAAGTGAACATTAGTATATATATTCAGAATTCTGGAGATTTGATTATTCAGTGCAGGAAGTGTCCCAGTCCTGAAGAGTTTGTACTTTTGCACCAATTCCATGTTGTAACCATTTTGAACATATATGTAGCTTGTGCTATCCCTTATAGGCTTCTTGTGCCACCATTGGGAATGGTGCAGGGTTCTCTTTCCAATTATTTAAGAATAACTACACTAGAACTGAGGAAAGCAGGAGTGTTGTCTGTAATCAGGTCATGGAGGGATGGGAATTTCTCCATGGCTTTTGCAGAACAGTGATTGGCTCCAGAAACACACAGAGCTCTAGCCAAAAATTGGCATGACCATCTCTTTCCATGAGCGGAGATGTTATGTCAACACTTTTTTGAGGTGGGTCTTTTTGGCCATGGCAAGAGTTTTGTGTAATTTGTTTTCCTTTTGTGTGTGTGTACTAAATTATAATTAGGGGAACAGGGAGAAGAGACTTTTCAATATTAGTTGTACATTTGGTAATATAATTTGTAGAGTGAGTGCAGCTGCTGTTGAAATAGCTGTCTAGAAAAAAATCGGTACATTAGGCAAGTAGCTGATCATATTTCTTCCTGCTTTCTAACAGCCCAGTTTATCAAATTATTCCAGAATTTCTCTTCCTCACTTAAATGTGTATAACCTGGGTATAAGGAAGTATCCAATAACAAATCTTGAATAGTAGTTTGATATTTTATTTAGTTCCAACCTGCCTTTCATTCAAGAGCTCAAGGTGATGTACACAGAAGTCCCTATTTTCCTTAACAACAGTAATCCTGTGAGGAAGATTGGGCTGAGAGATACTTGAATATGCTTCAAGATTTGTCATAGTACGAAATGGTAGACAAACATGTTAGTAAATCAGGTATTAATTGCCCCCAGTGCCCAATCTGGCATGGGTGATGTGATCAGTTTTTATGATTATTATTGCTTGCACAGTCAGCCAGTTTAGACTAGATTTGGCTTTTTTATCCACCTATCAAGTCTTCCCAAGGACCTGGGATAGGCAGATGTTGTTTGATGGTGTTAAAGGTATCTTCGCAGGATGTAAGCTATTCCAAGTAAAGCTGCCTTTACTGATGGTGACTGATGGTGATTTTGTCAATGCTGATGGTCTTCAAGTGGTGCTACAGATGTTTTGGGTTGCACCCAAGGTGCCTGTTACTATTGGTACTATCTTTGCTTTCTTTTGCCGCAGTTGTTCTATTTGCAGGTCTTTGTATTTTGTGATTTTCTCCAGTTCTTTCTCCTCTATTCTGCTGTCTCTG